CCCAAATATATTTTTTCCAGGCTCTGGACTTAATTATTCATGTATCTCATGGTTAGGTGCTTCATTCTGGTCCCGATCCTAAAGCAGAGGCTCAGAATTAGTTGAGCAAAGAAGTCAGCAACTCACAATATACTGTAAGATGTGGAAGCTAATCCTGCTGGACTAGACCTAGCACCTATCTAGACCACCCTCCTCCATCCAAAATGGTTTTTCAGTTACCAACTGGAAGCCTACAAGGCTGATAAAAGGTCAAGAACATCCTCTCACTCATGTTCCTCAGCACTGGGTATTCAGAGCTATATTGACAAGAGTCCCTTCCTTGCCTTTCCTAAGAAAACATCTATTTAAGCACTCACAGAACAGCTAATCAAAAGTTAAAGAAATAAAATTGAGGGGAGGGGTTTTAAGGAGGCAGAATGTAATCAACACTATTGCAGTTTAATCAGGGTATTAGAGTTGGCATTATAAATACATTAAAAAGTTTAAAAAGACTGGAAACACAACTCTAGGGAAATTAATGATCACAAATAATCATGGGGCCAGTCAAATCTTGAACAGAGTCAAAATCAGATTTACTTTGTTTGTGGTCTGGCATGTTGCTGTATAATCTTGGGGGACCTGGAGAGTAAACCTTCCTGCCACCCAAGTTTCTTTACTCTGTGTGGCCAGATGACAAAGTAAAGTAAAATCCCAGTGTCTTGTTCTCTGAGTGCATACCCTAATAACATTAAGCACGAACATCTTATTAGCCAAAGAGAAAATGGATGAAGAAATAATTATAGTAAGTGATTCTCTGAGTCTGTAAATTAATCAACATTATGTTCCTCTGGATCAGGCTGCCATGGTCATTAATCATCTAATCTTCCACTTTCATTGTATCACATGTGATATTCCTGATTGGGATTTATTGGGGTAACCATGTGTCATGGCTCCTTCCCATCCACCAACAATTCTGACAAAGAGGAGTTCTGAAATATAACACGAGAAGACGGAGAGAATAACTTACAGAGGTTACATACATAACCAAGTACTAAATGGTCCTATTTTGACAGATTTCCAGAGCTTGAGCATGTAATTCTTCTCGATCTATCAGCGATATTATGGTGTTTTTTTGTTTTTTTAAGGCAATTATTATTTTCTAATACCAAAAAAGAAAAAAAAAGACTGAGATGAGACCGTATTTACATAATAATTTCTAAACCAAGAGGTAGCCATATTTTCTCCTCACCCTAGTAGCCCTGTGCTTCTGTGGAGAGGTTTTGGGATCTAAGTAGAAGTGGGAGCCAGGCCACATTTAACTTGAGGGTTATGGGAGGATCCTGGATCCTATATCTCAGGAAAAAAGTCAGAGTATAAATTCAACAAAAATAAAATAAAATAAAAGCTGTGCATAATGTATGTCTATAGTTAGTTAAGAAAAAGGAGAATGTTTCACCACTCCAATGGAACATATACAGGCAGCCCTTAAGTTATGAACAAGATAGATTTGTTCTTAAGTTGAATTTGTATGTAAATCAGGACAGGAACATTTTTAATGTGAATCCAGCCTTACAGACATATACATATACACATACACATACACTTTGGATAGCACAGGGAAGGGATAACCCCCCTGTGGTGTTTGTTTTACTGTCGGTGCCCCTGCTCAGAAGATTTCACCTCACTGTTCCCATGAGAATTGAATTTTGAAAAAAAAAAGGCTTGCTGTGGAAACAAGGATTGGTGATAAAGCTTCAGGGGAGACACATTTTCCCCATGGTAACTCTTTCAGGAGTGAATGTCCCTTCCACTAGGATGGATTTCCCTGCTATGTAAGACAGTTTTAGTAGCAGTTTGGAGAGTTTTGAAATATACATGGAAATGGATGCAGACAGAAAATGTGTGTGTGAGAGAGAAAGAGAGATACTGTGAATGCATAATGGTGAAGTCATTCCTTTGCACTGCATTCAAAAGGAAGACGTTCATGGAACACACATCACTAAACAGAGCATTGTCATTACCATTTCCTCATGGATGTTTCAGGAAGAGAATCAACAGTATGGTAAAGAGAAATGGAGCATCCTTGGAATAACTGCAGTTGAGAAATTGAAGCACACTAAAGGGTAAATACCCAACCCTTGGCATAGACCACTGCTTCTTAGATGGTGGGTCCTGACTCCTTATAGCTCATTTCTGAGGGTCACAAAAATTTCGCAACAGTAAAAGGTTTCTGGATGCCAGCCATTTACACAAATCTGTTGGTAACAAAATGTATGATTTACAGTTGACTGCAGAAAATGCTTCAGGTGTACTTCATAAAAAGGAAAATCAGCCCAAGAATGGTGATTTACCAGTAAATGTTTGATTTTGATACCTATTTTATATACCTGGGGTCATGTAAAAATTTCTTGGGTGGAAAAGGATCACAAATAGGGCTATAGCTCAGAAGCAGATCAGAAGGTTGTAATTTCTGTTCTTAACATTTTCAGTTAAAAAGAGCTCAGTAAATATAGTTGATGGGGGGTGGGGGGAGACACATCTCTTTGTCAAACTTTGATAAAATGTTACCAGCAAGGTTAGACCACTAGGAAAATTGTGGGAAAATTTTGCTGTTTTTATTACGTTGTGCTGAGTTAGATGAAAAAGCTAATGTGCTATGAAGTATGTTGAAGCTTTTGTTTACTCAAAACACAACATAAGGGCTGGGCTGTAGCACAGCTGGTTAATCACCACCTAATCACCAGCTGCAATAGATTACTTCCAAATGGAAAGTGGCAGGTTCGAAGCCCGAGTTGGACTGAACATCTGACTGTTAAGTCCAGCTTACTGTCCACCAAAGGAGTTTGAAAACACCTGAGGTGTGAGCTATGAGTAGAGAAATTAGGAACAGATTAAAGCTGGGAGGTATTTTACGACACCATAAAAATGACAGTGGTTAAAGAGTAAGGAGGAAGTACAATCTAATGGCTCAGAATCATAGCGGATGGAGCAACAGCTCCCCCCTGTGGTTGAAATCGAGTATAACCTCCAGGCACCAGGCTCCAAATTTAAAATGCCAAAAAAGTACCTCTATCTGTCTGTTTGTCTAGAAAATGGCATTGAATGTTTGCAATGTATGTATGCATTGTGATCTGCCCTGAGTTCTCTTCAGGGTGAGAAGGGCGTAATATAAAAACTGCAAATAAATAAATAAATAAATAAGTTGGAGCATTTTTGATGTAATATAGCATTCTAAAATGCACTAAGCATATGCATTTTGAATTAGCTGGTTACTGATGTACAGACAAGAGATGATCCATAAGATAGTTTGGGCAGCTGAGCAATCTGATCTGCCTAATTGACCATGTCTGTAGACAATAATTTATTGCCAGCAAGACAAGAAACAGTTTATAGTATCTGAAAGCATATTGGCCTTGTGTTCTCAAACAAATGGTAATGACGGTTGTAATTTTGCTTCTTTATTATCCATTCATGCATTGCCTTAAATATTCAAAGCCAACTGTGAATGAGTGTCCAGATCCACAGCACAAACTGCTTCAGTTGTCAGTTCTTTAATCAAGCTCACTTTCATTTTTCTAAATAAAGAAGTGCTAATTTTATCTGAACACTATGATCTATGGCTGAGCTTATCATAACCTCTTGAAACTATCCCAAATAATCCTCCTCTTGTTAGAGCCAAGCAGTTCATCTTAAACACCTGGGATCTGGCATTTTGAAGATAATGAGAGCTGATAGTTCAACAATAGGCAATATGAATATTATGAACAGAGTTGGAATATTGAACTAGGGCCAGATGTTTTGGATTCTTATATTCAACTTAGTCTCTAATACAGGTGGACCTAAAGATGTCAGATAATACTGACATTGAGTCACACTCCTAACAACCTTCTCTTTTAGCCTCATAGTTTAGATTAAGAGCCTATGGTTTGGAACCACATATATGGTTTGGAACCACATATACTTGTCACTGGAAGGCTACCCTGGCAATGCATTCCTCACCCTGCAAACCATTTTTTATCTTTTCTGAAAAAATAAAAATAAAAATAAGCATGGTGGTAATGTCATCATATTTTTTTCATTTTTTGACATTCTTCAACCCCAGCGGTAATTTTTAATGAATCAGGAAGTAATCTAGAAGTGTCTTCCTTCTAAGATAATTTTAAGACTCTTTTTAGAGCTTTTTTTTTACCTTAAACAGGCAAGAAGAAGGGGATAATTGTGTTTAAATGGAAAATCTAGAGGTTCTGGGGTGCAATCCGCAACCCTATTACACAAGGTTGAAAAAGGTTTGTGGTAGATCATACTAGCCTATATGGATGAACAGTCTGACTTAATATATAAAACAGTTTTCTGTCTGTACAGATACAAGTTTGCTACTCTTGGGCTTTCTTCAATACTCTTCTTTTATTATTGAGACACAATCTAAATTACATAAATAGCTTAAATGCCGTTATCAAATAAAATAATTCTTCCCTTATGTTCCTCTGTGGTCTCTAAATCAGCTGATCTTGTGCCAATAATTCAGTGACATATTAGGACTGGGATCCTGTTGGTTAATTCCAACTACAGTAGATCTACTGAATCAATTTTGGTATGGTAAATAAACATACAGTTAAATCCTATTAATTCAATGGTTTTGTCAAAGGAACTGAGAATACTATTTAGGCCTATATATGTTCAGAGTCAATCTCAATGCTTGCTGCCCATATACAATTTCTCATTTTTTTTCATGGCATACGCCAATGATATTTTGTAAAACAAGACACCACATACTCTTTAAGATAAGTGTGAACTTAATTTAGCTGGGCATTCTTATAATTTTTTAGCTATATATTGTAGCTACTTTAAGCACAATTATTCTAACAAAAATATAAACAAACATTTGATTTTATACCCTGCCCTTCCTCATAGGAGTCCAGGACTGACAATATCATTTTGATGGTTATTGCTACACATCTGAGTGCAGCAGACAGGATGGATTAAACATCTAAATGTATAAATAAAGAAAATGTAATACTTACCTACTGGGTTAGGGTAGCTGATTGCTAAGAAAGGAAAAAGAAACAGAGATTTAAAAGTTACTGTTACATTTTTATGATTACACCCAAAGATATAACAAAAGAAAATGCTCTATCTTTTCTGCAGGGTGGCAAGGGAAGGCTCTGTGTTCATGGACACAGAGCCTTCCCTTGCCACCCTGCATGGCAATCTGGGATTGTGAATGTTTCACATGAGGATTTTACTCTGCGATTATACTGTTTCATCCTTGGAAGCTTTCAGTAAGTCCAGATGGAGCAATCAATCTATAGTTCTTCCCATTCTTCTTTTCCACCTTTTTCTTACCTAAGTGAACCAATTTATGGAATATCTTCACTGTGCCTTTCAATTATGAACCGCCACCCTGTCTGAAAGCACCCTCAGACTCTCTCTCTCTCTCTCTCTCTGTATCTATATATCTCATTGTCATGAATCTAACCTTTTGCCAGGAAGGCCGAAGCCTGGAAAGTCAGTAGCTGACATGTTGAGAGATAGGCAGGAGAGCTACGAGGCAAGAGGGAGGAGTCAGCCGACTCCTGATTGGCTAGAGCAGTCAGAGGAGGAGTTAGCTTTGAGAGGGAAAAAAGGCTGTCTTATTTGACAAGCTGGGGGAGTTGAGCTTTAAACATCGAAGAGTGTAGAAGTATATTTAGGAAGAGGGAGCTGTGAGGAATTTAGACAGGGAAAACTTTTGAAGTGAGCCTTGAGATTAGGGCATAGGATAGGCAAAGGTTCCTGAAACACTGTACATAGTATGGTCAGTGTAGGAAAGCCTATTTTGCTCTGTGAGACAGTCAGTGGGCTGCGCTCAGGGACACACTGTGTCAGAGTTGGTGAACAGTGTGAAGCAAGGAACTCACAGGAAACAAAAGGTTTTAGTCTTAAAAGAAAGACTGCCTGTTTAACCAGCTAAGCCTCAAGTAACCGCATTACGCTTTTGTACCACTCTTATTAAGAGTTGTTTTGTTCACCAAGTTTAAAATAAATCTGTTTGTATTTTCATCTTTAAACTGGTGTCTGCCTCGGTCTGTCACAATCATCAGATCTCAGCAAGCCTAAAGAAAACTACCTTCAGTCCAGTCAGTGAGAGAAACAGTCATTAAAGAAGAACTAAGGGCTTGAACATATTTTACCTATTCCACATTCACACTTATGTTTTCCTCAGACATATAATTGAGGTGGCGGCGGCGAATCTACCTAATACATCGGTCATTAACAACGTTAATACAGTTGGTCACTTGACAATATTACTGAGGTGGGATAAGAGAGTCTTTCCCCCTCGTCATAGTCATTTGTCTTCGTTTAAGTAGTGTCCAGTTGAACGTTAATACTTCACACTGGTAGGCAGAGGGTGTGATTGTTGTTTTCCCTGCCCAAGCATACGTGGATCTTTATTATACTCATCAACTCAGATTCATAAACAGTAGCAGACCAAAACTGGTCATAGTTAAAAAAATTATTAGGAATGAGGAATATGGCTTTCATCACATTAATTGGTGGAATATCATGCAAACCAAGTAAACTCAGGTTAAGGGAAGTAGGCAGTGATTGGGAAGGGGAAACAGTGGCAGTTGATACCATATTATAAGATTAAATCCCACATGAAACAGAAGTTGGTAGGATGACCAAATCTAACTCAGTTTAAGCTTCCTGTGGGAAAGGGGAAAATCCATGGCAAATGAATTCTTAGAGAAGTTAAGGTGATCTGTAATAGCACCAAAAATGGTGGACTGTACACAGATGCACAGTCATGGTTGGATGGTTTTATGTCTGATGGCAAGAACTCAGAAATTAATGCATGAAAGAAAAGCCAATTGATGAAAACAAGGCTCGCAAGATCTCCAGTAAGTAGAACACAACTTAGAGTTGCAGTTCCAAAATAAAAAGAAAGAAAGAAAGAAAAACAGCCGCGATAGGGCTAACTAGTTCCAAATAACTCCAAAGTTCCTCATAAGTTGTCACACACCTATCCCTCCCTTTGAGCTATAAACTGATAGTATTAGGGGACTTTCAATCTTTTCTTTCCCCACCATTTCTTCTCTCACTTCTAGTAAAAGTGAAATTAGTTGAGAGATTTATCTTTTTGAGGTTTTTGCCTCCCAAAGGTAAAACTGTTTCATTTGGACTACAACAAGAAAGTTTTATCTTTATATCACCCTCCCCCCCCCCCCAAATGTCATTGCATAGAGTGTATTTCTTCAGGTTGCCTGTTGACTTGTGGTGACTCAATGGATTTTATAGGTTTTTTTAAGGTAAGGAACACTCAGAGGTGGTTAGCTAGTTGTTTTCTCTGAAATATAGCTAATAGCACCTGGTATTCATTGGCAGTCTTTTATCCAAGTAGTCATCAGGATTGACCCGGCTCAGCTTCCATGATCAGACAACGAATTGTTCACAATAAGTCAGAAATGGCTGTAAGTCCCGCAAGAACAATTATAAAATTTCTTGGGAATTCAGTATTCTTTGTCTGAGAAAGGAGCAGTTAGCTTCATACAGGACAGTGTGGATCCCAAGAGAAGTTACTTTGTTGCTGCTAATGGAACTGAAGTCTTATTACCTGTCCTTTGCTGCCCTTTGTCCCTATTCCCCACATGACCAAGGAAAGGAGTGACCTTTGCCAGTATTGACATCCCTTCAGACCATCTTAACTGACAAAAGAAATAACAACTGAGAAAAAATGCAAGTCTGTGACTCTAAAGTCATACCTTTTCTTCTTCTATATGATTTTTTTTAAAAAAAACCATCTTTTCCTAATGAAGAAGTCACTGAAGCTTCAATGTATTTGGCCATTTTAATTTGCCCAATACACACATAATTGATTTGTGGATTTTTGTTATAGACTGGTTCAATGTCAGTATAGAGCCCTTAGAGAGCTCTTACAATAAAGCCCCACCAAACAACAGCTAGGCCATCAAATGCTAATCAAGGTGGTCAGTTGAAACATTCACACCTAGCTCCAGCAGACAAGAGTCCTTTGTCCCACCCTGGTCATTCCACAGATATATAAACCCTTTTTCCTAGTTCCAACAGACCTCACTACCTCTGAGGATGCTTGACATAGATGCAAGCGAAACGTCAGGAGAGAATGCCTCTAGAACATGGCCATATAGCCCGAAAAAACCTACAACAACCCACTTATTTTGTTTGTTTAGCCATCGGTGTGTTCAATCCTTAATCAGAATTGCTAGCCATTGTGTACAAACATTTTGCATCAGTAAATCTCAAAATTGTTTCCATAAAATGTTACATTACACTACAGTAAGAATGAAGTTAAACTGAAGTTGTAATGCAGCATTGAAATGTCTTTGTGATGGAGGAAACGAAAGAGTTAAATAGTTCCTTCAAAGCTGTAACCTGTCTGTTATTCTTATATTAGTAAAGGATTTATCACTACAAATGCACCAAGAGATCTGAAAGGTACACTGTGCAGTATATATTACAGATCGATTGCTGTTGCTAAGGAGATCTAGTTGTGAGATTTGTCCAGATTGGGGTGGCTTGGAAACCACACATATGCCACTCATACCATAATAAAGAAATACAAGGGTGGTATATCTTTAGTCTGGATACTACTAAATGATACTCAAGTTTGTTCAATTCATTCGATTCAGAGAGATTGGAAAGCAAGGCCTCTTAGAATTCAAGCAAGAGTGGAAATGTCCACCATAGGAGGATGAGTTTGCAAAAACCAAGTAGAGGCAAAAAAATTATTTTAGGATGCTCTAAAGGAAGAAAATGTGTTAAAGAAATCTATTATTCATGCACTACATGTTCTTCTCCATGAAGATAGTGAAAGTGAGCACATGGAAGAGGGACAACCGGTCCAGGGTTGGTTTTGAACCATATGTTTTAATGTGCCCGTAATGCTTTAGGATAGATGGAAAACAGAGGAAGCAAGTAGAAAATAAAAGTTAAATTCCTAATTTCTCAGTAAGTCATTTTATTCCTAGCAGACAAGGGAGATGTGAGGCAGTTGCAAAAGCACCTGCATCTTCCAACAAGGTTTCTACTGGTCATTTCCTGGACTAGGCTTCAAGAAGATCTTTGGTGACGTTATCAGGCAGAGCAGAGAAAGACACTTACGTTCTAAATAGTGGATTATGCGAGTAGCCATGTCCCCAGTTCCAAAGCGGGTTATGGGTGTCAACCGAACTTCATAGCTCTGAGGCACCTTCAGGTCAGTCAGGAGGTGTTCCTGTAGCATGCCCTTTTCCATCTTCCGCACAGAAATGGATTTGGGAGGCAAATCCCGCTGATTCAGCTGCCAAGACATAAATCAGGGCTTAATAGAGCCAGTAAACAGTTCTGAGTATTGTCGAAGGCTTTCATGGCCGGAATCACTGGGTTGTTGTAGTTTTTTTTGGGTTATATGGCCATGTTCTAGAGGAGAGGAGGGAATGCCTCTAGAACATGGCCATATAGCCCGAAAAAACCTACAACAACCCAAACAGTTCTGAATTTTTAAGACTGAAGTACTTTTTTCTAGTCAATTTGTGGAAGCCACAAAACACATGGCAGAGGGTTGAACTAGATGGCTTCTGTGGTCCCTTTCAACTCTTAGGATTCAATAATTCTATGTTGGACAGAAAAGAAATCTTGAATTAGTATAGGTGCCTACATAGTTTTAATGAAACTTGGAAAATGGAAGGGCTTCGATAAAACACAAGAACATGCCAGTTAATGTGAGTAAGGAGAACTGATAAATCCAATCTCCTTCGCTTGTTTGATACTACTTGAGTATGATTTTTCTTTTACTGCTTAGAACTGCCATTTCTGGCATATCTGGATCTCACTATTTGTGTCCACGAGATGGAGAGCTTTCAGAATTAGTTTCAACACCATATGGTAGGATTTCATACTGGAAAATAAGTGTTTAACCCATGAAATACATCAGGTGATCTACACCCTTATCTCACATCTCTTCTTTATTTCTACAGACAATTTGCCAAATGTGAAGCATAATTTTATTGCATAAGCAAACAATATACAAGGCTAAATCGATACAGGTAGAAGAAGACATCTTAGAGGTCAAATAACAATCTACGAGTATCAACTTTGCTTGGACACTCACATCTCAGTTTAATAAAATAGGAATCTCATGGCTAGGTATACAAACCTTTCACTTCTTTTGCAACAAACAAACCATGAAGTTTTCAATTACCTATGGTTTCCTACAGCTTTCAAACTGTAAATCTATAGCTGATAATTTTTCAAATAAACCTGAATATTTTGGTCTAAACCATGGCTTAATGTCTGGCTTGCTTCAAAACTACTAACTGTAGTTTCTCAGTTCAGGCATAAAGAAAAATGATACAAATTGCTCTAGCTTCTTTGATTGTAAGAAGGAAAGTACAAAGGACCTCAGTACAAGTTAAATCCCATTGGAAATTAATTTCTCATCCTCTGCTAATTGAACATACTTCTAACAGAGCCGGTATCTGTGGAGTTTTCTGTTTTTAGCAACCAAATATTGAATGAATCCATACAAACTTCAAACAATTAGCAAACCTTAAAGCATCACAAGCAGCAACAATGAGGTTAGGAGAACAAACATCTTAAAGAAAGAGCAGAACTAATAAATTTGAAATCACTCAATAATCAAGCAGAACAAACTCTTTTAACAGTCTAGTCTAACTAGTCTAACTAAAACTACACAAAGAAAGAAGTAAATCTAGCCTTCTCAGAGTCAGACAACCAGGATACTACAACAAAGAAGGTCCTGTCTTTATCACCTAACCTCTGTTAGCAATGGAGTACATTGAAAGGTCTCCCATGTGGCAAAAGATACTATTTCAGCTATCCTAACCTCAAGCCAATTGGGACTTTATAGATGAGGACCAGCATCTAGATTTTCACCCTGAAATAAACTGCCACACGACACGGACTGGTGCACGTCCATAAACAAAGCATTCAGCCAAAAGCAATCTAATCACCACATTTTGCACTGGCCACTCTTTCTGAACACTTTTTAAAAGAGCATCCCCCTGTAAAGTGTATGCAGCAATAGAAATGGGCAAGCGATTGAGGCATTTCTCACTCAAAATGTCCCTAAGTACCAGAAGCTGGGTGCCGGACAGTTCTGTAGGTGAGGAAATCTGTAGGCAAGGAAATCAAAAGATTAACAAGAAATTATTTGTGTGATCATTAAAAAGGAAGAGCAAGGATGGTGGATCATTCTCAGGAAGTTTTTCGGTTGCCATTTCATCCACAAGGGCTTGCATACTCTTTTTTTCATCCAGTGAGACATTGCTAACTCATTCAGGCTGAAATTTGGCTCCACCTATCAGGGCCCAAGAATGTTTCTCCTCTATGATTGATGGTAGCTCTGCATTGAAACAATAGCATTGAATGTCTCAATTTGGGATATTATTCATGCACCCCCCTTGACATCATCTCCTATCTTGCTTGGCTGTTGTGTGCTTTGTGCTGCTTTCCCCCAATTGAAACAGCCATTCTTCTTCTATCATACCATTCCAGCACTGCAGTCCAATATTAGTTTGGTACAGTTAATAAGACACACTTAGGCACCAATGCTGGGGGAAAATGCAGGCTGCCTTATTAGAGATTCTGAATCCTCAGCGGAGGAGCTTGTGCAGGTCCCAGCAATGAGCTCATTCATCACTGGGTGCAGTTAGCTGCCAGCAGGGCCAGAGCAGAAACATGGCCATAGCTCTCTGTCTCACCTCTTTGCATTCATCCCCTTCCATTTCCTATAATGAGAACAAGGAGTGAGTTGGCGGGGAAAGAGGGGAGGGGGAGTCATTTCCCATATCTAGTAACAGCAAATATCACATGTGCACCTCTGGAAAATGGAGAAACCAGTCAACCACATGCTTTGATATATCCACATGAGAATTGCAACCAGTTACCATCACCACTTTTACTCCAAGGTGAACTGAGGAAATAGTATCAGTGAGAGAAAGCTTCAGGAATTGCACCATTTTCCTTTAAACTTTATGGTCAAGGTCCCCAAGGCTGGAGTTTCTTCACAACCATATTTGAAAAAAAAAAAACCCTTAAATAAATACAGGTGAGCATCCCCTATCTGGAATTCCAAAATCTCACAAATTCAAAAATTGTCCACAAAGGCTGGTTGAGATAGTGACTTTTCCCCCTTGTGGTTCAATGTAAACGAAGTTTGTTCACGCACTGAATTATTAAAATATGTTCTATAAAATTTCCTCCTGGTTGCATATGAGATGTAAATAAAAGTTGGGTTTGGGCCAGGACCCTGTCTCTAAAATGCCTTGTTGTGTATAAATGCAGGTATTAAAAATCTGAAAAAAATCTGAAATCTACAGCACTTCAGGTTCCAAGTATTTTGGACAAAGTATATCAGCCTGTAATATCAGAATCCTAATCACCTTATGAAATATCCCAACATATATTCATGTGTTAGTACAAATGACATCTAATGAACATGATGGTAATAAGGACAAGTTCATATGCCAACTCTTCCTGAAATATCCCCTAATTTCCCCACGCTGAACAAGCCAGGGAATCCAACTCAAGTTAATTCTACTTGCATTTGCTTGAATGTGCATGGATCCCTCTTGCTGGATTTCTATGTAATGTTGCCGTTTTCTCCATTAAAAAAACAAAACAATCTTGCTCAAAACACACACCTGATTGCCTTGAAGCACTCTTTTTTCTTCTTTTTCAAACCTTGCAAATGAAATGTTGCCAATTTTCTTCAAATTATGAAAGCTGCCAGGTTTTAGGGAATGCCACATAGTTCAGGAGAAGCTATGTGGCTTCTGGAAAATAAACTTCTGGGCAAGCTGTGCAACTTTTATAGAGAGGTGGGGCATTCCCAAGTGTCTTGAAGCAAAAGGACAAAGACCTGTTTCATTGCATCTGTTAGGATATGGAAAAATCAAGATTTATCATCCTTACTGGAAACCTATCAGCCTGCTTTCTTTGAAATATGTAAAAATTTGAGAAACTACCATTTCAGGTTCTCAGAAAAGTATGTTAAAAAAAGGACTTCGCCAGCTCAATTAACTCATGCTTCACTCCACTACAGACACACACAGAGCTCAGGACAGCTTGTCCCAAATTTCTGAAGAAGCTTTGGATGATATGTACCGGCTTATAGAAACTATGTGAGTATGTTGTCACTGAATGGTACATCAGCTTTAATTGAGACTCAAAGTTTTCCCATCACATTTGCTACAATGTAAAGTAGTTTGCAAGTGCCTTTATGGTTAACTGGTATTATCTGATATCACTTATGTACTTGCAATAAATAGAATCACAGAAGAGGCGTATTCCTTAGAGCACAAGATATTCCCTGACTGAGGACCACAGAAATTGATACATTAAACAACAATGCAAATGAGCGGTTGTACTCCATCTGGTATTTACACAGTTCTCTACACTAGACTGGAAACTGAATAGTGGTTCATAAAATATATTTAGATGTTTACACTACACGATCAAAGCCTATGGGTATTTTCAGAGTGTATGCTTCAGCACTCTGAAATGATGTTAAATTGGGAATGAATGCAAGGTATGAAAAGATCTTTACACATGGCCTTCTAAGAATCATAAATAAAAGTTTCTAAAATCTTATAGAAGTAAGAAAAGCCTAGCTTCTAAAACTATAGTCATATAATTAAAAAAATCTTTTAACCTGGAGTTATAATGAAATTTGGAGAGAAGTATAAACCAGCATGAGTCCCTTACCATTACAGTATTTCTGCACTTATATTTCTACAACCACAGTAAAAACAAACAAGACTTATTACACACAAATAGCACTTTCTATACACAAAGCCCTAAGCAGTCATCCTAACCTCATTTACACACATAACATCTTGTGATGTTGATTCCCACCCTCAAGCCTCTTTTATCCAGAAATGTGACTGATGAAGAAGGCTAAATTTCATATTCAGATAAAAATATAAATTGCTGCCAATTGGGAATATACTTCCTCAAGTTGACGATTGCCTTTAAATATGCCTGTTCTTTCTCTCTTAAATATGAATTTCACTTACAATATTTATAAAGCTGCCCAGTAAGAACATTTTTAAATCTCTTAAATATAAGAAGTAACATTCTGCAGTCAAAGATTCAGCCTAGGAAAAATGTATTAAGTGTAATCTTTGCATATGCATGTTTTTCTAAAACCAACAAGCAATGATCCCATGAACACTGAGTATTGTACTGGAATCACATTGAGAATATGCATGGAAAAGGGGGAAATCCACCAGAGAGCAAATAAAGAACAGGAGAAAGTCTGATTACCAAAGAGCATTT